CTATACTAAGGGTCAATTTACCTCCGGCTTATACTGAGAGCGTCGACCTTAAGGGACCAGGGTGGGATAACATCTTCATGCCCTCGAGGCCTTAATTGTGCTGACGAACGGCATATGTACTTGTGAGGGTGGGACGCTTGCCACTGTATCCGGCTCTTGACTATCTTCCCGCCCAATGTATCCGGCTCTGACTGTATCTCCCCGCCCACTGTATCCGGCTCTATCTCCCCGCCCACTGTATCCGGCTGTTATTGTATCTCTTGCCGTTGTGTACTATTTCCAGGTAATCTAAAATGATAATTATAAAGAGAGAGAAGTTAACACCACCAACAAACTACCTCTCTCATATATACTCTCTCTCTCTCTCTCTCTCTCTCTCTCATCATATCATATTCACTCGCCAACTTACCATCAATCACGCCCCGCTGCCTGTCTCCGCCCGACCTAACCCACACCTCCATCCACAACCTAACCTCCACCCACAACCCTAACCCACATCTCTACCCACGACCTAACCCACTACTCAGGTGTACCCCCCCCTCCCCCATGGAGAGTGACACATAAAGTAGGAGGTTCGAGTGACACATGGTGGTGTGGTGGAGAGTTGATAATAACGAAGCAAGTGTTAATTAATGAGAGATAGTAGACCTGTGTGACGCCTCTCTCTCTCACCTATGGCCCCTGTAGGTAATGATGTGTCGGGTTGTGTGATATGTGTCCGGTTTGTGTGATATGGGAAGGACACGTTAGGACACGGGCATGTGACACATATTGTTCATTAGGAGATATATTACCGATGGGACATAGAGACACATGATGTTAATAGGACACAGGGAGGCACATGATATTCCAGACACATACTTCTTAGGACACACACACTAGGTATCCTCAGCCATACGTCGCGTGAGAGTTAAATGAATGTTTAAAATCAGCATAAATATTCATGGGTGTAAAGGCCGAATAATGATGATGGGCTTGAAGCTACGAGCCATCATTAGTGCTGAGGAATAAGTAAACATCCAGACACATGTAGCCAAGGTGAGGGTTATAAGACATCCCTTAGACATAGTGAGACATAGGGAGGGAGAGAGAGGGAGAACAGTTGTCTTGTTTCGTGTCGTGGGTCTGGGTGAGAATCTATCAGCTGGCCGCCACGTGTCTTTGTTTACATACTATCAGCTGATGGCAGAGGGGGGTCACTACTCGACCTACTCCAGGGTGTGTTGAGTAGAGACACAGGGAGTAGGGTGAAAGGAAAGAGTAGGAGGAGGAGGTATGGAAGGGGATTATGGGGAGGGAAGTGGGAAGGAGGAGTAGGAAGAAGAGACAAGGTAGGAGGGTAGAGGAGGACTACAGACACACACACACACACACACACACACACACACACACACACACACACACACACACACACACACACACACACACACACACACACACACACACACACACACACACCCTTTCAACCTCGCATGTCTATACACTATATAAGCTACCTGTCGACAACAAATTAGGTCTTTAACACCTGTATTTACGGTCGTACAGCATGAACTGACCTCTAAATATCGTGTGTTAATAGAGACGTGCGACAGTGTACGACCATTTGTCCACAATGGATGTTTCTTCGTCATGCTTGGTTGTACAGATGACATAGTTGGCTCCTTTAATACACCCGTTATGTTTTGTCTAATATTAAGACTCGTAACTTGATAAAAGACAGAGATTATTATTCGTCTGGCGTCCGTAAGCTTGTCAATGCGTGAAGAATGGCAGCGGCGGGCGTTGTGAAATGCTCGTAATGGCGTTGTGGAATGCTCGTACTGGTAGACAGGTACTATTAAATTCCATAACAATCCATAAATATACAACTCGAAATATACAGGACTGATATTATTTACGGAGAGACACAGACAGACAGACAGACAGACACACAGACAGGCACACAGACAGACAGACTGCATACACTATTCCTCCCACTAAGCTGTACTATACAAGGGGTATCGGGGTATTACAAAAATATACCCCCCCCTCCCCTCCTCCCTCCCCCCAACCAAAAAAAAAAAAACCCCATCAGTTGCGGGGTAAAAATTCCGTGTTTCATATCAGCCAACACAAAATCGACTATCAACAAGGGTTCGGATTTTTGCTATCGGTCACAATCTCTGGCAGAATTGGAACACATCAAATATATATGACTACAAATAATAAACTGCCTGATACGTCCGCTTCCTGAATAAAAGATATGAACGAGCAATACATCATGCATTTGTTTACTTAGCGCTGGGGAGGGGTGGGGGGGGTGCGCAGTGTCGATGTCTAGTTTAATTTGGTTTGTGTGGTGCGCAGATGTTTATAGTTGGAGGGGAGGTAGGGATGGGTGCGTAATGTGATGGTTGTAGTTATAGTGGAGGTGGGAGCGCGGTGAGATAAAAAGCGAGGGTGGGTGCGCAGTGAGATTGTGTTGTGAGCGCAGTTGTGAGAGAGAGAGGGGGGGTGTGAGGGTGCATCTGTTGGTCGGGTGTGAAGTTGCAAGGTATACACAGTTGCAGGAAATACCTCGTAAATATGCAGCTTCGTCGTGGGTGCGCAGCTGTAACGGGAATAACAGCTTCAACGGTGATGCGCTGCTGGGACTGGGAGGTACAGCTGTAACAGGAGAAAGACTACAGCTGTAACAATGGCATCACAACAGTTTAGTACAGTTAGGTATTAGACAGGTAAAAACACCACTCAACAGACAGTCAGTATATTCCACCGTCCAACACCTCCGCCCCCCCCCCCGGTGACTGTCAACTCTACGGTAATCTCCTCCCATGTTCACTATCTAACTCTTAACAACAACAACAAAAAATAAACGAATAAAAATCAATAAGAAAAATTCAGTAAAAAAAAAAAAGATGAATAAATTAATACAATAATTTAATAAAAAAAAACTTTAAAAGCCTTCTGGGAAAATAAACTCCAATGATTTTGTTTCAATATTATCATTCAGGACACACACACACACACACACACACACAGAGGCCACTAGCGCCCCCTCGAGTGCCACTTGGAGTATATACAGTGTTCAAGTGTTACTCTAGGAGGTGTTGTAAAGTGGGTTCTTCTGAGATCCTTAAGAGCCCTTTCAAGTGTGTGTGAGTGTGTGTGTGTGTGAGCAACTGTTGAGTGTGTGTGTGTGTGAGTGTGAGTGTGTGTGTGTGTGTGTGTGAGCAACTGTTGAGTGTGTGTGTGTGTGTGTGAGCAACTGTTGAGTGTGTTTTTACCAAGTGTTTTCATGCATCACTTCCACCTTTACACACTATCATAGTTTTAACTGCCACTTGAGTACGACTGTTAAGTGTCACCTTTGAATAGTCTATCACTTGAGTGTAACCCTATAGTGAGTCATAGAACCCCCCCCTCCCCCTTTAAAAGCATCCCTTGAGTGCGAATGACACCCCACTCAAGTAACACCCCTTAAACCACCCCTTGGACTACACCCCTTAAGTGGATATCAACAACAACAACCACGCTCAAATGTAACCCTCAAACAGACGCTAGGAACACACCCCTTTATTACCAGCGCTTGAGTACGAGTGGTTAACTGTCGCTTGAGTGCGTGTCAATGGGGTGTTGGTAACGCTGTAGGAGGGCGTCGTTAAGGTGGCCAGGTATGAAAATCCTAGTGATAACGATGGCAACACTGTCATCAATATGCAACAAGGTGCTATTAACAGACGCGGGCAGAGGCATAACGGGCATAACTACTGTATATAAACGCCAAGAGGGGAAAAAATAAAAATAAAAATAAGAAAAATAAGAAAAAATAAGTAAAAATAAGGAAAATACGAAAAAATAAGTAAAAATAAGGAAAATACGAAAAAATAAGTAAAAATAAGAAAAAATAAGTAAAAATAAGGAAAATACGAAAAAATAAGTAAAAATAAGGAAAATAAGAAAAAATAAGTAAAAATAAGGAAAATCACAAAAAATATCGAAATTAGTCGGAAAACTTTAAATAAAATCATAAATATATAAAACGTAAGCAGGACAAATTAATTAAATATAGATAATAAATATTGGATAATTAAGGGAGAATAAGTGATAAATAAGATAGAATAAAAACATAAACACTAAAATAAAGACAATTAATAAAAGGTAGAATAACAAATGCAAAAAATCTGAGAAATAAATAAAAAACAGAAAATAAATGACCATAGATTTCCACCTCCTCCTCTCTCTTATTCTTCTTCATCCACCCCTCTCTTCTCCTCCTTCCACCTCTCTATTCGTCCTCCTACTCCCCGCCTCTTCCTCGTTTCTCTTCTCTAATTCTACTTCTTCTACCCCTTCCTCCTCTTCTAATTCTTCTTCTTCTTCTCTTCCAGTTTCGCCTCCTCCTCCTCCTCCTCCTTTCGTTCCCCCCTCCTCTTCCCCCTCCCTCTCTCCCTCCTCCTCTTCGCCCTCTTCCTCCTCCTCCTCTTCGCCTCACTTCCTCAGGCGGTGTGGGGATGACAGCTTATATAACACCACTGTAATAAACTGAGGAGAAAATAACAATATAAAAGCACCTCCCTCTTCCTCCTCCTATCTCCTCTTCTTCCTCTTCCTACCTCCTCTTCTTCCTCTTCCTACCTCCTCTTCTTCCTCTTCCTACCCCCCTCCTCTTCTTCTTTCTCTTCCTCATTATCTCTTCTTCCTCCTCCTCCCTACCTCCTCTTCAGTCTTCTACCCCCTACTTCCTCTTCTTCCTCCTAACTCCTCTTCCCCATAAATCATCTTCCTCTTCCTCCTACCTCCTCTTCATTCCTCCTACCTCCTCTTCTTCTTCCTTACATCTTCCTCTTCTTTTTCCTTCACCCATTTCATATTCTTCCTTCTACCACTTCTTCATTCTCCTTCTTCCATCTCTTCTTCTTCCTCCCCCACCTCCTCTCCCCCCCCCACCCTCCCCCACCCCCCCTCCACCCTCTAGCTAAAGTTGTTGAGTAACTTTGAAAACGACTTCTTTATCATAT